ACTCTTTCCTAAACATTTACTACTATGTGCTAGACATTATGTCTAACACCTCATAAGGACCAAGATCTATCTCAATTAATTCTCTTCACAACCCCTATGATATGCTGGAAAAGTCTGCCCAAGGCTTAAAGAACTTGCTCATCGTTCCATAACTATTAGGCTCTAAAGAGCGTGGTTGTAAACAGACACTCAGAATCCAAGCTCTTAATACATATATAACTATACCTGCAATTCAATAAATCATAAAATGGGAAAAATATATTTTATCTTTCAAAATTACTTTTAAAATAATAATCATGTCATAAAGATACTACACATATTATTAGTCAAATTAATAATACTAGCCAAATTTTACATCTAAAATCATTGCAAAAAACTTTATAATATCAAATTTCAGATTTCAATTTTGTCTTACAATTGAAACACTTAAAATAATAATGTATAATATAGCATAATACAGCATGTAATGATATGTTGACATTTGTAAGTAAAAAAAAAACTGATTAAAATAAAATTTACCTGTAGATGTTGAAACTTGAGCAAGCCACAACCATAAGTCAACAAACACATTTTGTGTAAACTGTGAATAAGGGAGGTCAAGACAGCCCAGGACATCTCTGGATAGAGTTCCATCAATTCTGATTCACTCACACCATTATGACTAACATTTATGAGACAGAGAATCTAAGTAGAAAACACATTAACAATGATCATAAAGTATTTTTTTACATAACTAACTGCGATTAAAATTTCCACAATTCTTTGAACCTTATTGATTTCTTATTCAAATTTATAATTCAAATGATTTATTAAAGAGACAGATTTTTTTTAGCATGAAACACACTTCCCAAAAGACACTAATCAAGACTATGATAGAGTGAAAATAAATAAAGGAAATTTCATTTAAAGTGTCAGGCAGCCCTGAAAGGAGAACACCTCATGCACCTGTCACTCACTGCAGCCTGCATGACCAGCAGAAAGGAGGAGGAGAATTATTTTAACAGGGGAGGACATTAATCACATGGCAATTTCATCTCCTGCTTTTAGGGAAAAAAGAGGACCCCTTCCAGCCCTTGCAGCCAATAGAAACTGTCACCACCTCGAACTCTTGTTCTTCTCCAATGAACTTTTGTTCAAAACAACTCATCCCAATTTCCTTCTAAAACCTCTTAAAAACAGGCCCTTCTTCATTATCTGGACTTGCCTATGGTTTTTCCATAGCTTGCTTGTTCCCAATTGCAATTCTCTGCCATTCTTGAATAAACCCATTTTGCTAATAAAATAACTGGCTGCTTTATTTTTAAGGTTGACAGTAGTGTCTATATAAAATATAGCATGCCAAGGATAAGATACATTCATGAAAATCAGAGGGCTAAGTGCTAGGGATGCTGTACCTGGGAAAGTGGGGACAGAGGATAGGCAGCCACCCCAGTAACTTCAGGGCTTGCGTTTTCACACCCACAGTGGGGATGGAAGGTGAGCCCGTATGCCCCATGAGGCAAAGAGGTGGAACTAGAATGCTTGCCAACACCAGGAGCTTCCAAGGGCTGTCCCCTCAGGGAAGAGATACATGACGAAAACATTAACCCACAGGCAGGGGATATTTATGAGCTAGAAAGTAAGATGAAAAGGCAAAACCCCAAGAGCCCCCAAGTTGAGAAATTAACAGAAAAATGGATCAAGGTTCAAACTATAAGAGTTCAACAATGTTGCTAAATATAAAGTAAGTTTTCAGAAATTAAAACCGAATTTAACTAATAACAAATAATTTAAAAATGTTATTTCATTTATTTCTTTGTCTGACGTTTCACTTAGCATAATACCCTCTGGTTCCATCCATGGTGTTATAAATAGCAAGATTTCATTCTTTTTTATTGAGTAATATTCCCCTGTGTATCTGTACCACATCTTCATTATCCATTCATCTATCAATGAACATCTAGGTTGCTTCCATATATTGGCTACTGCAAATAAATAATGTTTTTGTTTTCTTCAGAGAAATACCCAGAAGTGGAATTGTTGGGTTGTATGGTAGTTCTACTTTCAATTTTTTGAGGAATCTCCATAATGTTTTCTATAGTCGCTGCACCAATTCACAATCCTATCAACAGTGCATTAGGTTTTCCTTTTTTCTATATCCTCAATGGGTAAAAAATGGTGAAGAGGAATAAGGTATAAACCTCCAGTTATAAAATAAATAAGCTACAGGAATGACTAACAGGGGTTATAGTCAATACTATTGTAATAACTTGGCAAGGTGACAAATGTTACTAGACTTAGTGTGGTGATCACATCATAAGGTAAATAAATGTCAAATCACCCGAAACTAATATACTGTTGTATGCCAACTACTCTTTAATAAAAATTAAAACAAATAAAATATTATTTTAACTTCAGAGTCCTTAGAAACAAACCGTAACAAAGGATGTGTAAGGCCTTTATTGAAAGTCATTAAAGAAGATGACTAAATAATGAAGAATCATTTAGCTTTCCATAGAGGAAAGACATATAATTTATTTAACTCTATCTCTAAATTCAATGCAATTCCAAAGAATTCCAAAATAAGTTTCCACGGCACTTGCTGAACCAATTCTAAAAATACACACAGGAAATTAGCCAACAAAATTGTAAAGAATAATATTGACAGGGAGCTTGTCCAACCAAATGTTAAAGTTCGCTTTAAAGTTCTAATAGGTAAGACACTGGTATTGGCAAGGAATAGGCAAAACTGGAACAAGAAAAGCCTAGAAATGGACTCATGTGTCTATATTCTGGACACTCAACAGATAGCATTCTACCTCAGTAGAAAAGATGTACTATTTAGTAAAACAGCCACATACTAGTAATAAAAGATTAAAAAGTAGATTCCTTCCTCATACAATAAACAAAAATAAATCAACATGAATTAAGGGTTTACACATGAAGAACAAAACTGTCAAATATTCTGAAGGGGAAAATATATATGAGAACACTTTTATGATAGCAAAGGATTTTGAAAAGAAGATACACAGGCATAACCCATAAAAGCAACTGTTGATAAAACTTCGACACCATAAAGTTAAAAGATAAGACAAGGAAAGATAAGGAAAAAGACATTTGAAAACTCTCTAACAAAGGATTTGTAGTCAGCATGCAGAACACTTAAGAATGCCCATAGATCCGAACAACTCAAAAAATGTTTAAAGGACTTGAACAAAGAAATCACATACAGGAAACAAGAATAACTAATGAACATGAACAGATAAAAAAATCTCAATGACAATCAGGAAAATGCAAATTTCCCAAGATACTACTTCTGGACACAAGCACACATTCCTGTATATGCTTGAAATGTATTTGAGCACAAATTTACCAAAATTTGCTATTTACTTTAATTCACATATAAATGCAAACAAAGCAAAATAATCTTCCTTTGATGAATTTACTATACTTTACCTGTTTCATGAGTTCTTTATCCATATCATTCGCCATGGACTCCTGGATGGATCGCAGAACAAGTCTGTATAATGAAACTGTATCTTGACACTGGAAACACTGATGAAGAATTTTATCTAAATTGCCTGATCTCCCAGCACTGTTGGAATTGAAAATAGATTTAATTTCTTATAGACTGCCAACATCTATGAAAAACTGGGAGTAGATTAAAAACAATGTGGTCTTGCCCAGCAAGCGTGGCTCAGTGGTTGTCGACCTATGAACCAGGAGTCATGGTTCGATTCCCTGTCAGGGCATATGCCCGGGTTGCAGGCTCAATCCCCAGTGTGGGGTGTGCAGGAGGCAGCTGATCAATGATATTTCTCTCATCATTGATGTTTTTTTCTTTCTCTTTCTCTCTTCCCCTTCCTCTCTGAAATCAATAAAAAACAAAAACAAAGAAATACCACAATGTCGTCTCTATATTTTATATTGCAACTGATAAGAACAGGAATTCAATAAAACATGATACAGAAAAATGGTAGTTTTATGGGGCTGCTGGAGTCATCAAATTTATTTTAGTGTACCATTTAATTCAATTCAATAAACAAATGCTGATTCTTATTAAATTCAAACAATTACTATGTATTATAGAACATAAGAATGAGTAAGACATGGTTCCTATCATCTAGAAGCATGCTACCTACATACTAGAAGCAGGAAAATAATTATAAATAAATATTATTAGTTAGTTAGCCATGCAAATTAAAATTTTTAAAGCCAGAATTTGAAAAACATCAGGCTAAAGAAAATCAGTAAACGGGGGGAGAGGAGGGTGTTTTAAATTATTACACAATATTTACCAATAGTTTCTTTTTTAAACATAAAGATTTCTAAACAGAAAAAAATTAAAACAAAAAGAAGTGGTCCATAATCCCTCCTAAGTAGATAATTTCAATAAAAATTGTGAAATGTATAGAAAGTGACTCGCACTCTTGAATTATACTTATTCAAGCTACTGATAGGCACAGAGGCCATATTCACTGCTCAACTGGAAGCAGGAAGGAACAGTGCAAATATCATGGACAAGTGAAAGTTTTAGAAGATTCTTTTCATTTGGTTCTTAAGATGAGAATGTGGAATTAAGAGACAAGAGTACCAAGTTCAGTGTCTAGAATATGTGTCGTGCTAGGATTACTATCTATTGCAATGAAAAAAAAATCATTTTTACCTCTGGTTTTGAATGGACAAAGAAGTAGTCTGAGGCAGTACTGAAGAAATCAAAGTAATAAAACTTTCTAATGCTTATCTAAAAGCAAATTACTGATGGATATGTAAAATGGAATAACTTGTTTCAAGGTAAAAGGTTTATCAGAATTTGATAACAGAGACAGCTACAAATTCCTACCCACATACCTACCTACTGATAGTCAAAGGCACCGGAAATAATATATATTTTTTTAAAATATATTTTATTGATTCTTTACAGAGAGGAAGGGAGAGAGACAGAGAGTCAGAAACATCGATGAGAGAGAAACACCGATCAGCTGCCTCCTGCACATCCCCCACTGGGGAAGTGCCCACAACCCAGGTACATGCCCTTGACCGGAATCGAACCCGGGACCCTTCAGTCCGCAGGCCGATGCTCTATCCACCGAGCCAAACCGGTTTCGGCCGGAAATAATATTTTTAACGACTCAGTTGACTCCTCACTTCCCCAAAGCTAGGCATCTTAAGCAGGTAACCTTGAGCACTCATGGATGGGCTCCAAACGAGGGCAAAGATGGCCTTCTTTTGCAACCCCCAGTAAGGAAAAGGTTAGTGTGATGAAAATTACACAAACATATTCAACAAGTTATGGTAATTCACAGGTTATCGATCTTCAGTTACAAGTCACATTCTCACAGGTTGTTAGTATCACTGTTAGAATAAACAGAATCTGAGTGGCCCAAGAGATTGTCATAGTGATCAGTTCTCCATTTCACGCGGTGAGGAAGCAGTCTGCAGCAAACATAAAACATGCAGAAGGTCATGTAAAAGAATCGCCACTTACCATGCAATCATTTTGCCGAAAAGGGTGACATAAAGGGCATTGCAGGTTGCAGCAGAACGACAATGTCGTTCTAGCTTCTTCTCCTGCACAGTTTACCAGAAAACAAAACAAAAATACAAAACCACCCTGGAATTAAGTGGCCTTTACTAACGAGCCATCAACAAACATCCCTGCAGGAATGACACGGTTCCTGCCATCTCACCAGCAGCATCACTGCCGTGTGGTCGAGGACCACAGGTGAAGTTGACATGCAAATGCTTATTAAAATACCTGCTTAATATAATATAGTAAAGTAAACCTATGACCAAAATTTTCTTTATTCCTTCTTCTATATCAGCTATAGGTTTAAGAGCAAATGCATTTAACACAGTAATTACTAAACTCCAATTTTCCTTATAATAACAGAAAATATTAAATATTAAGTCTCATATAAGGTGTTTTACTGGAAAGCTGATAGAGAGAAAAAGATAGCAGCACAACTAAAGACGCTTACCTGCTCTTTACTCAATTTAATGTCTACAGAGTGGCACTCTGCAATTATAATAGATTTTGCATCTTTCGGATTTAAAGGATCAAGATGAAGTGTAGGCCACAACCTTTTATTTAAAGAAAAGGAAAATGAAATTATCTTCTAATAATACCACCAAAGCTGTACTCTACCCACAAGTCAAAATCCACTACAGGAATTAATTTTTTATACTGCCTTTATTAAATAAGCAAAACTAATTTGTTAATCCTATTAAGTAACATTATTTCATTTATTCTAACATCATTACTTTCAGCTATTAATCATAACAAAAACTGTACTAAAATAAACAACAAGGACTTTAGATAGTGAAGTGGTAAAATGTTTCTAGTTCTAAGTACACTATCGTAAACACAGGTATTAGTACCTATGAGGAATAGTACAAGACACAGTCTTTGCCCACAGGTAATTTGTAATCCAATTGAAATTTATTCACTTTACAATATGCATTCTCAGTGGAGTGATGACAATTGCTTGTTGGGGTGTATGTGTGAAAATATCTTATTCTTTCGATGTATAAGGAACAAATATATTTGCATATCTGTTTCTATGCATAAACTGATATACGTATATTATATCCCACGTTCAAAGGCTGTTAAATCGTGTTGTTTACCCCTATCTTCAGAAAAAAATCACTTCTACTGTCGTGGTAAACAATCTGCTTCCCTATTTATAATGGTCTGGCCCTCAAGCAACTTCAGCGCAAAATTATAGCTAATTTGCCTACAAACATCAGGTGGTCATAATAATGTGGCCACTCAGTGTACAGTATATGTGTGGTATTAAATTTCTTGGCAGGGAGGTGATTAGGAATATAATTAGTAAAAAGGCTCCATTTGGGGCAAAAACATGTTGAGAAATACTGCCCCACAGAATTCAACCACTTCATTTCAGGATAACAGATGTCTTAGCCCAGCCCTACCCCATTTTCCTCATCCATAAATTTGTCTATTAGACATCACTACTCAAGTTATAATTGGCAACTCAAACTAATCATGTTAAAAAACAAACCTGCCTGTCCTTTGTGCTTCTCATTCAGCTCATAGGGCCATAATTTACTAATTTCTCAAGTCAGAAACTTGGGAGTCATCCCAGCCTTCTCCTCTCTCACATCCCAGATTTAACCTCCCACCAAATCCTTATTGATTGCATATTTATCCTGGTATTGTCCACTTCTCCCCATACTCACTGCCACTTTTATAAAAAATACAAAAAACACAAACACATATGAAAAACCTTGCCTTGTTTGTACTTAAAACATATCACGTAATCTGAAAGAACTAAAGTTAGCATCGTACCTCCATGCTGGAGGGCATGTTTCTACATTCACAGAAACAATTACTCTTACATTCACTGGCAGGGGATCTATCAGCCATTTCATGTGTTTTTCAACTTGCTTAAAAATATAAAAACAAAATTCAATCTATTAATTCAAAATATTTCAAAACAACCCATAACAGCTCCCCAGATAAAATGAAAATTCTCTTTAAGTTTCTCTTACTGTTAAGGATAAAACCTTATTTTTGGAATATTTATCTCAGAATAGTAGAAGAACAAGTGGCAAAAGTCTACTGCTGCTGATCTAAAGTCTGGACACTTAAGGAAAAGTCCAGGCCCTAAAAATGTCAAAATGAACAATTTTTGCTAATTGTGAAAATTTGGTTGGTCTTCCCCAATAAGATATTAGCAGGTACTGGCATACAGTATATTTTTTAAGTCCACATGCTTCCTCTTTAGAAATTAAGCAGAAATAACAGAAACAATGTCAATATTTTTTTCTCACGAACATATAAATAAAATGCCTGCCATGGTCATTACTGATACTTTTGTCTCTTTCTGAGTATATCAATGGGTTACAAAGTGAAAACAGTACCTGAACTTGATCTATAGAATCAATAATGATGATGATGCTGCCTTGATGACGCGCAGAGAGTTTTTCCAGCCAACGAGGAAATTCTTCCAGAAGCTTCGCAGGATCCAGGGTCAGAGCGGACACTGACCAAGAGTGCTGCATCAGCTGCCAGATGAGAGCACACAGACTGAAGTAGTTGTACTTTATCGCAGCTGGTGAGAAATAGGTCTGTCTCTGCACTTTGAACCAAAACCAAGTCACCAATCGTATTGAGTATTATTTTTAATCTTATGCAAAACCAAAACAAATGGGTAAATCATTGAAAATTGGTTTATCATCAGGTACTTAGTCCCAACAAAATCTGAATCTAAATAAAAATTCTGAAAATTCCAAAAGATGGCATACTATACCTTTAGAGTAAGTCGTTTAATAATCAAGGAAGACTCTGAGCTGGTTGACATGGGCCTCCCCACAAAATGAGAAAGAATTAGTGTATTAGGGGAATTCTTCTGTTGTAATTGAATCCTGAAAGAAGAGCTTTTATAAGACTGATAAAGCTCCTTTACTGTCAACTAAAAAAGAATTCACAGTGCATTAAACATCAAATGCTACTTATCAGCAATCACATGATCAATTTTGAGTAAATATGAGAAGTTTCCATTTTTACTCTACTTTTAGATCCTTTTAAATTAATCATTAAAATTTATAGATTCATTATAATTACAAGTTGATATTAACTAATATAAGCCAAAAAAGTATACATTGGAATTTAAAGTATTAGTAAAATTAGCATTACCCTCTAGTTTCAAATATGGTAGTAGAGGAAAAAGGAAGTTTCTTTTACTAAGTACAAAAATAGTATTTTTTCAAACATAACTTTAAATAAAAGGCAATAAAAAAGAACCAACATGTGCTAACTCAGGGGCCCTCAAACTACGGCCCATGGGCCACATGCAAATACAAATATTATATTTGTTCCCGTTTTGTTTTTTCACTTCAAAATAAGATATGTGCACTGTGCATAGGAATTTGTTCATAGTTTTTTTTTTAACTATAGTCCGGCCCTCCAACGGTCTGAGGGACAGTGAACTAGCCCCCTGTTTAAAAAGTTTGAGGACCCCTGTCAGCTAACTCTTCAATGTAAATAATTATGAAAGAAAATATTTTCACTAATTATCTTTAAATAATATGATTAACTGAAATAAAATTAAAAGAATGTATTAGTTTATATGAACCTTAGTCCATAATTTGAAAAACTAGTTTGCATTCATATTAAAGGTTATTGTCTATTTTTATATTCTTTATGACTTATTTCACTCTAAATAGTCTTTGTCTTATTTCACATAATTTAAAATCCCAATGAAACCCTTAAGATGAAGCCAATAAATGAAAATAAAGGCACATTCCCTCTAGAATTTACCGAATTCGATGTCATACTGACCACTCCCTTACAAAGCACTCCTTCACCTCTGACCTACATCATTTAGCTACATAATCACAAATGCTCAATTTCCTATTCCTTTCTCATTCTGTATCTTCTCTCTAACATATGTATTGTGTATACTTCAAGGCACAAATCTATTATTTCACTCCTTTTTGCTCTTTTAATGTTTAGTACAGACTAGGCAGGAAGGCAGACATTTTGTTGAATGAATTTGGTGATTCAAATGACACAATGATAACAATTTAATTGCACGGAATCATACCACTTTGATAAAAGCAGGGACTTTCCAGAGCCTGGTCCTCCAGATATGAGCAGGGGTGGAATTGGTGCTGGTGCTGCCACTAGATCATTGAGGCGTTCATAATACTAGAAACAAAAATGAATTTAAATTGTGAGGAACCATATGCCTCTTAGAATAGTAAATAGAGCCAACACCCTCTGAAATCATTGGTAAAAAGTTGCATGAGAAAATGGAATCTACTTTTAGTCAATAGCACCCTCATAATTGCTTATTTTTATGACTTGTTAAATATGCCTAAAGTAGTAAACAACAAACGGGCCCCAATTTCTTCTACACATAGTATTGTGATGAATAATGAAGGAGGGACAACACTTAAGATCTCCATGGGGTTTTACAAAATTCAGATTTTTGCACAATGCTGCAGGGAGGCCACTCTACTAACCTAAACCCCAGAAAATACCACAGAAGGCCTTGACGGGGGTACCACAGGCATCCTTGATCTCCTGGTCAAAACACATGTTCTAGAGACCACCTCAGTTTCCAGGGCTTCTGAGGACAGACCCAAAGAAGAGCAGGTTTCATCTGAGGACTCGAAGTCTCCCAGTTGCTACAGAAAATCAGGTTAGGCCAGGCTACCTGAGATCTTCCTGAAATTAAGTGAGCTCTATGCAAAGTCCAAGAACCGTATTTCCCAGGCTTTCCCCAGACACTAAAAACTGGTTCAGAGCTCAAAAGGACAGGTTCAGAAAACCAAAATATCTCAGTACCTATTAAGGAGATTCCAAAGTTATCTTGGGGGCTGAAATGTTTATTAATTGTACCAATGCTCTAAATGACAGCTGATAAAGATTTAAAGGAATTTGTACTAAATAGTTCGTGTCTTGCTTTAGGGTAGCAAAAATTTTCAAGAATTACAATAAATGATTACCTGATAGAGTTTCTCAATCAATTTTCTGTTTGTCAAATCTAAATACAGAATATATTCTCCAGGAACTCAAATAATTCTGATAGTAATGATGCCTCTGAAGAAGCAAAGGCTCCATTGATTTAATTGCAAATCCTAACAATTTATTTCACTGTCCTAAATAAAGCCCATTTATAGACCTATGGTTCCCAAATTAAGACCTCTTGCAATAGAAAAAGGGCATAGGATTTAGAGCCAAAAGTCTTTGGTTCAAAGCCCAGATCTACAATCTACCCACTGTGTGCTCTTAGGCAAACCATAATCTGAATCTTAGGTTCCTCATTTACAAAATAACAACAATAATAGCTCTCTTATAAAATAACAATCTTACATTTCTCATGTGCCAGGTACTGTGCCAAGTGTTTTACATGCATTATATGGTTTAATCCACCCAACAACCCTGTGGTAGGTACTATTAATTATTCTCATTTTATAGACAAAAAAGCCCAAGTTTAGAGCTAAGTAACTTGACCAAAACCTCTAGTTAGGAAATGGTGGAACTAGGACATAAACATACACAGTTCAAATTATAAAAATATAGCTGTTAGTGACAGCAACTGTACAATATTCTTTAAAATATTAGTTCTTACATTAAGTCAAAAAGCACTCCAAATTTTTGAACTTGGACTTAAGATTCTTTGAGTACTTCAAATTCTGTTAGTTATATTTTTGGATATTTAAGGCATGACCTGCTATTCACATTAACTACTGTGCTTTGTTTTCTGAATGCTTGATATATATGTTTTTTAATCTTTAATTTCTTTATTGGTTAAGGTATTACAAGTGTGTCCTCATCCCCCACATTAACCCCAAACCTCCCCGCCCCCCGAATGCGATATTTTGATATCTCCAAGAACTGGAAGAATAGATAGCTTTACTATTTTTATCAAACTTTCTAGATATCCTAATCTTGATCTGGTGAATTGCAGATGGAAGCATATTGAACATGTGGTTTATAAATCCTAATCTGTAATTAAAAATGTTTGATGTTCATAAGTATATTTTATGTCACATATCTTTCATATGATATGTACCTTAGCACATGTCTCAAAATAGTTAATCAAGCCATGAGGGCAGACACTAACACAAATATTAACCTTGACTATATTTAGCTGAAAACACAATCATAATGCAGTCTAATGGAGATTGATCTTTGCTGGAACAATACAGTGGGGCTTTGACCTATGAGTCTAATTCGTTCTGAGACCGAGCTCGTTAAGGAGCTCGTTATTTCAAATTACTCTATCAACTCAATGCAAAAAATCCGCCGAGAGACAGCTGGTATCTCAAAAAACTCGTTAGTCGGGACTCTCATAAGTCAAGGCCCCACTGTATTCCAACTTACTTTCTCAAATCCCAATTCATGGGCTGAATTTGAAGCCTGTTGAAAAGTTTCCATTTGCTCTTGTTCATCATGTATGTCCCACAGAACATCGCCAAAATCGTCTTCTTCTGGAATAGAATCTTCACTGCCCAAATCCTTAGTGTCCAGGTCTGTGTTCTCAAAGCCTAGGATGTCCTGAACACCAAGAGCAAGCACATGAAAACGAATGAAACGTGTAAAGACCTTGCAGCAGCATGAGCACACAAGTCTAAGGTGGGCTTCACCTACGAAGGAGGGCAAGCCCCAAACCATGGCCTTTCGTATAGTACCTATAAGAATAAACTTATAAGTTCAAAACTGTTGTTGAGAAAATCAAAAACGATAATGTCACTATTTATGCTAAGGTACATTATACAAAAGGCATCGCCAGATGTCTTATCATCATGTTTTGGGGCTCACTTTTTCTCTGACAACATAGCTCCATACTTGTAATGCAAGTTCACTTTTAAAATTAATCTCTTACTTCTCAAGTAGGGTCCCCAGTACTCTGGGGGAGGTTTCAGCAAGTATGGGCAACCATAGGCCAAACATCGTATATCTTCCTCTTGAGCCCATTTCACTTAAAGATAAAGGCTTATTTTTCTTTTCATCATTATTACCATTTTTGCTACTACATGATTTTAAATGATTTTTATATTAAAATTAAACACATGTATACTATTAAGCAGAATATATAACTCTCATTAATTTTCGGATAATACTTGAGACATCATAGAAACTTTCAGCTCAGATACCTCCAGACCTCTAAAGGTGTATTTTCAACCCTGCTATTAGGAATAATATGGTGGAAAAATTTGAGAAGGATTTTTCTAATATAAAAAATTCAAGGTGCACACAGAATCTGAGGAGATTCACTATTAAATAGAATGAACATTTTCTCTTAAATACTTTTTAGCTAGCACTTTCATAGTTCATATTACACTTAACGGTATTGAAGCATCAAATAGCTTTGTGAGACAGATGAGAGGTAAAGGTTTATGGTACTAGTAATAGCACATGAGACTGCAGGATGAACTCCCAACAGAAACAATGGCACTCTCTCTGAGTCTTGTTTTCAGAAAACAAACAAGTGATTTTCTCTGGAAAACCCAAATTTATGGAAAACAGTCTTAAAAATTTTAGATGCAATCTTGCAGGAGATGTATATTTACCTGTTTAATAATCTTTTCCACATAACTATAAGTTTTATATACACCTTCTGCAGGATCTCCTGTGTGATCAATGATCTGGAAAAAAAAGGAAGTTTAACAACAAGAAGAAGAAACAATAACAACAGGAGGAAGTAGGGCTGGGAAACATTTTTATAGTGCTTATGTGTTATGAACTGAACTGTACTAAGTACATTCCCTGTATAGTAGTAGCTCATTTATCCTCACAACAACCCTTTGAGGGAAACACTATGGTTACCTCCATTTCACAGAGGAAACTGAGACAAGTTAAACTTGTCCAAGGTCAGACAAGGGATTTAGTGTGAACAATGCTATAATAAAACAATGTTGCAATAACCACTTAATATATATATAACCTTTAAAATACATCACAATCAATTTTTATGCCAGTGAAGCTAATTCTACAAAACAAAAAAGCAAAATGGTATTTGGCTATATAAAATGGTCTTTTGAGTATTGCCCTGGCTGGTGTGGTTCAGTTGGTTGGAGCATTGTCCCATATACCCTAAGGTGGCAGGTTCTGTTCCCGGTCAGGACACATGCCCAGGTTTTGGGTTCAACCCCAGGCAGGAAAACATGGGGGAGGCAACTTATTGATATTTCTCTTTCTCCCTTCATCGTTCTTAAAAAAAGAAAATAAGAATGCCCTATCTGTGAAGAATATTTGTATTACTAATCCTATCTAATAAAAGGGTAATATGCAAATTAGCCATCACTCTGTCACAAAGATGGCAGCACCCATAGCCACAAGATGGTGGCACCCAGACCTCTCAGTCCTTCTGCTGGAGTGTCCGGTCCTGTCAGCCCTGCTGGGGGGAGCAGCGGCCGAGTGGCATGGCTGGATCCGCCCTCAGACGATGAGCCCCAGCGTCCCACGTGCCCTGGCCCATGGAGGGAGGGCGGGCCTCTGGCCAGAGGCCGGCCAGGGGAGAGGGATGCTGGCGTCGTTGCAGGATCACCCAGTCCCCTCAGTCCTGCCGCTGGAGTGTCCAGTCCTGTCAGCCCCACTAGGGGGAGCAGCGGCTGAGTGGCATGGCTGGATCCGCCCTCAGAGGACGAGCCCCAGCATCCCGTACGCCTTGGCCCATGGAGGGAGGGAGGGAGGGCAGGCCTCTGGCTAGAGGCCGGCCAGGGTGCAAGGGACATTGTCATCGTTGCAGGCTGGGCTGAGGGACCCCCCGCCACCCAGTGCATGAATTTTGTGCACCGGGCCTCTAGTAAATGATAATGTCTGTTAAGATTACAATAAGACACTGGTTTTAAAAAGCATATCAAGTGAACTTTAGCCTACATTGGAAGTTTAGCCTACATTTACATTTTTAATATGGCAAAGAGATCTTATTTTATCCTATTTTCATAAAATAAACTTATCCTTATAGTATACTAATTTGTAAAAGCAAGATTTATAGAATAGAATAGAGATAAAGAAGATGAATTAATAGCTTTTCCTATGAGACTTAGTGGATTAAGGTGATAATAAAAACAAACAAAAAAAGAAATGGCTCTGGAGATTAACTATAATAAAAAAGCACTTTATTTTGGCGTAGGCTCTCTGGTTTAATGTTATGCTGGTCTCAAGCTATCTTTTCAATACTACATGATGTAAGAAAAATGCTTGTATTCACATTTGATCTTATATTCTGGCTGAAATAATGAGAACCGAAAACTTTTTAAAAATCCTAGAGTTGTTTTCTATTGTATTCCTAACATTATAGACATCTACCAAGTGAACTCGGTGTGCAGTCATACGAAGCCTGTAATCTCCATTCTAAAGTATATCTCACCATGAATCTAGGGATGATCAAATCTCCTTCACTCATCATCAGTTTTTTGCTTTTCCCAGTGCTCTTAAGAAAGGCTCCTTCTTACACTAATCCTTGGTCAATAGTAGATAGAAAAGGAAAAGAGAAAAGGAAAGGTTACTATGAAAAGGCTCCTTCTTACACTAATCGTTGGTCAATAGTAGATAGAAAAGGAAAAGAGAAAAAGAAAGAAAATTAAACAAGGTTGGAGGGAAAAGAAAAGCACAGAAAAGAATCTGAGTTGTCCACTCACAAGTCATATTTTTTTCGCCATATATTGATTGCTATTTTTTCTTCTCTCATAGTCTGCAATTAATCTGTCAGGAAATCCATTGACCCTACTGTCAAAGTTTATCCAGAATCCTGCCATTTCTTATCACTCCCTCTATATCACCCTGGTCCAAGCCACCAGCACCTCTCACATGGATGACTGCAACATGTCTCCAACTCTGACCTCTCCCCCAAACCCCCAATCTACAGTGCGTTCTCCACCCAGCAGCCTAAGAGACCCTTCTAGAATAAAATTTCTTCTGCTGTTGCTTTAAGTCCTCCAATGGCTTCCCATCTCACTCCAAGGAAAAAAACAAGGTCCTTAAAATGTTCTCCAGGGTTCTTCTCTATCAGTGCCCTCTTATCTTCCCTATTAATCCCCCTCTGCTCCAGCCACTCTGGCTTCCTTCCTCTCTCCGAAATGCCAGACCACTCCTACGCCATGGCCTTTGCTCTAGTACTTGCTGCTGCAAAGCATGTTCTTAAAAAGCAACCCTAAGAATTTTACCTTGGCTTTGTTGGTCTTGTTCAGGTTGGCAACTTGGTCAATCAATTGCTGGACAGAGTCAGAACTGACTTTCCCATCCTCCAAACGATGATAAATTAATCGTGGTTTGCCTTCAGGATTTTTCAGAAAAGCTTCTTCACAGTCTTCCAATAAAAGGCTAGATTGGAAATCAGTATTTCTTTTACTATATTGCACAGTGACAGCAAAGAGTCAATCAACCTAAGTGTCAATAATGGGGGCTCACTGCAATAAAAAGTGGCCAGAGAAGGCCAGTTGCAGAAGAAGTGAAGCTTTCCAAAAATGGATGTTTTTATAGCTCTCTTCCAGCTTAGTGTTAAAAAAATGTTTATTATCAGACAATGAGAGCGCATTAAATTTAACTGTGCATTTCATTAAATTTTAAAGCATATATAACTACTATTTTTCCATTGTCTCACACATTCTTTTAAGTTTAGGTGAATAGTCCTAGAAACAAATTAAAACATGTAAAAGCACAACTTATTTAACTGAAGATCTAGTCAGTTTTATACTACTTTAAAAAAGCATGCTTTAGAACAGGTTATGTGGGATATTTTCTGATCTAAATTTTAAAAAATATATAAAAAAGCCTTTAACAGAAAAGGCAAGTTTCTCTATAAAACAAAAATAATATTAGCTTAATAACTTGGCTGTTTCCTAGCTGAGAAAATTGGAATTTCATATAATTTTCACATGTCAAAAAATATTGTTCATTGGATTTTTTTCAACCATTCAAAAATGTAAAAACCAATCTTAGCTCTGGGTCACACAAAAATAGACAGCAGGCCAAATTTAGCCCACAGGCTGTAGTCTGCTGACCCCTGCCTTAAATTACCTCTAACGGCTGCTTTGAGCAATGAGAAACTATAACAAGGATTAAACTTTGTTATAACCTGAAACAGATTCAAGATTGGGTGGACAGATATTAACTAAAGCAGGTACTATCAACAAGGGTTTGAAACATTGTGGAAAATGTGTAATGAAGCACTCAAAAGCACACAGTTCCTTAATTTAAAAATACTGATAATACTAAGCAAGATTTTCTCTTAAGAAAAGCCTAAAATGCTTCCTGCTCTTTAAGACATATAATCTAGCAGGTAGTAAACTACTTGGTTTAGATGTAGTAGAATCAGAAATAGGATACAATATTAACTTGTACTTTAAATCAGTGAATAGGGAATTTACAAATGTCCTTACCTTAAGAAAAAGATCCATTTCAGGCTGGGTTTCATCTGTATAAATGAGGTAACATCTGACAGTGTTACTCCATAGAGAATGTGAAAACAAGGGAGTAACTTGTAATAAACTAGCTACAGCAATATCCCAGTCATCTGAAAATAAAATTTCTCTTAAGTTAATGGAAAAAAAAAATCACCAGAGGACATTTGACAAGATGATTTTTAGAAAGTCACAATAGGCATCATAGAATGGATATATAATTTCACTTGTTAATACTAACATAGCTTCTGGAATAACATATTAGAAGGCAAACAGTCCTCCAATGTCAAATTCTATTCTGGGGCTTAAAGCAATCAATGTCACCAGTGGTCTTTGCTGGGGTACTGGTGGTTCTGGTCAAATATCATGCAACTGTGCCGCATGAGCTGTTCAATTAGTTTGCTACTTGAAGAGAGCCCACATTCCCAGGCTATCCTATGGTTTTACCTATTTATTATTCTTAAAATATATGAGTCAAAAAGGAAGTTCAAGAATGGTATAAAAGGAAAAGTAACCATATGCTATTTACTGTGAGAGCACATTTTAAGAAATATTTGGTTAATACAAAAGGCATAATTTAAAAAATGATTTTCATTTTGCTAATCTCTATCTATCTGTCTATCTATCTATCTATCTATCTATCTATCTATGCCTAAGCCACCATTTGACCGGTAGCTATGATGAGCACTGACCACCAGGGGGCAGACGCTCAATGCACAGGCATTGAAACATGGAACAGACTAATGAATCTCAAAAAGAAGTGGGGGGTGGGTGGGGTAGTTTAACCAAAGATCTTATATGCATACTAGAGTCCTCATGCATGGATTTGTGCACTGGTAGATCTCCCAGCCTGGCCTCTAGTAGATAAATAATTTTACAGTTTTAAGAAATAAGAGCAGAGCTACTTATAACATCTCAGATCTTCATAGGTACTGAAATTCTAAACAGATCTTAGAGCTGTTTTAGAGACCTAAATTACATAAAAATAATGAAAATATTCTTTTGACTAAGAATACTATATTACATAACTGAGGTTCTGTATTCTACTCTGCAACCTGCTCTCACCTTCAACACTTATCAAAGATGCAGAGGGAAAGACTGAAAACTACTATTTCTCAGTTAATCTACATTAGACTCTCCCTGCTCAACTAAACTACCTGAGAATTCAGACCAGAAGTTCAGTTATTAGAACCTGAATGGACAGCCTGGCCAGGGAGCACCATCTGATCCTGATGTGAATAAGGTCACTTCATCAGTGTTGGTCAGTGACAGCACCAGAACATAATGGTTTAACAATGGAAAACACCCAGTATACAAATCTCATGTTTTGCTGATGGTAGTTGGCCCAGCACAAGATTATAGTACATAAACAGTCACTACATTAGCTAAGGTAATTAGCAAATGTGTGTTACCTCTGTTGACGTTTGCAAAAGGTCCTTCCACATCTATAGAACTATGTGCGAACTCTGGGCCCCTGAAGGACTGCTGAAGCTGGATCATACTCCCTATGGAAGGTTCACTTCCCAAGGCTCCACCAGGCCAATATTCACACTGGGTTCCAGCAGCTGTTAAAGCACGAGATTGTATCTGAATGTTCACAAACTTACTGAGTAGTCTCAACAGGATTGTTAATTTATAAATACAACCAATATTCAAACTTTAATGATTTTTAAAGTACTTTGTCATCCACGTCTGGCAAGTTCTACGTTGCAGGTTAATATAATTCTGGTTATCATTTCAAATTCAAAGAGAATTAAAAAGAGAAAGATAAAAAAATTAAGAATACAATACAATACACAGATGATATCTCATAGAATTGTACACTTGAAACCTATGTAATATTAGTAACCAATGTCACCACAATAAATGTAATTCAAAAAAGAATAAAATAACTAAAGGAATTATAATAACAGATAGAGGTTAAAAACACCCCCACACACTAGTAAAAATTCTAAAAACCATTTCAACTATATGGTTTAGGTATCAATATAAAATTTGGTATCAAGGAAAGAATTTCAAAGGAATACTATTATTAGCACAGCAGTGATTAATGTAGGTAATTCATTAGGCGCTAAGCTAAGGATGTAAAGAATACATCCTCCAATCTCCCAGACCAACAAAACTGTTTGAATCAATAGATACTTAAGAACTTACTGATGTTTTATGTAAATTATATTTGCCAGAAT